AAAAACACACAAAAAAAAAAAAAGAAAAACAGCATATAGAAAATCTAAACTAGAAAGATTCTTCTTCTTCTTAACAGAGATATCTTCTCCCAAATTGAATTTCAGAAAATAATAAGCACATTTTTTTCCAACCATAAAAAAAAAAAGAAGAAAAAGAAAAATAAATTAAAAGCCCTGACTAAAAATCTCTATTACTGCAAATTAGCAATAAATAATACTCTCTCTTCTCATTCATAAGGACACATTATAATTGTAGTGTTTGAGAAGCCTATTGGCTTCCCTAAGCCCGCTAAAATACGCCCCGTGCGTTGTGGAGTAATGCGTCCTGTGCGTGGCTTCACCGGCGAACAGAATCTGCAGCAGCGGTGCCTCCGAATCATCTCCGCCGTCGTCGGTCTTTGGCAGCGGCTCTGCCAGGGTGTCCATATCGTCTATGCTCGACCCCACCGCCACGTAGCTGTACGACCCGAGAAACAGGGGATTGCTCCCCCATTGAGTCCTCAAGACCCTCTCGAACTTCAACCGGTTCCCCGCCGGGATATTCCCATTGCCGTTGCATGACGAGGGTTTCAGTCTCGATGCCGGTGGGAGAAGGTTCGTGACGGTGGCTTCGAAGCCGCTGATAATCTCGTCCTCGTCCAGGGACTCGAGTTTTAGGGCCTCCGGGCCGGTGAACCACGACAGCACCACCCTGGCCCCGCCGTAGATCGGGTTTAGGAACGACGTTTTCCGGATCCACTCGGGGATTTCGGGGCTCCGTAGCTCGGAGTCCGGCGGGTGGAAGAGCATCTGAAGGTAAGGGAAGCCGGCGGCGCCGTCGATGTCGATTTCAGGGCCTAGCTTCAGGAAGACCTTGTCGACCACACCGTAGCCGAGCCGGGAGATGGCCCGGGTTTTGAAATCCGGCAGCGGGGGGCTGAAGAGGCTGCAGTCTCCGGTGATCCCCTGTTTCAGGACGCCGAGGGAGACAGTGACGATGACGTGGTCGGCGGTGACGGCCGACCCGTCCGCGAACCGGAGCTTCACGGGCCGGTCATCGAGGCCGGGGGCAGGACCGGCCCGCCACTCGATCGTGTCGACCCGGCGGCCCAGCTGGATCATGCCGGCCGGGAGGGCGGAGGCGAGGGAGTCGACGACGCTGGAGTAGCCTCTGGCCATAGTGATCTCCTCCCCCGGGAACATGACGTAGTCCTTCTCGGCATTGTAGTCCAGCTTGCGGAGGTCGTCGGCCGACGTGAACGTCCTCTGTATCCCTTCGTGCATCGCGAAGACCGCCCGCTGCAGGGACCACCGGCTCCAATTTCCGACTAGCCGGTCTTTGTCGCCGTGGCCGTCGGCCGCCCAGTAGACCTCGAGCCCCTTTTGCAGGAAAGCACCGACGCTCAGGCTGCCGCCGCCGGAGGCGGCGACACAGTGCTTCAGCACCTCGTCGCCGCGGACAGCGGCACCGCCAGAGGCCGGCTTACCCTGGACGAAATCCATGAGATCTTCGAAGAGGTCGGAGATGGGTTGGACGAAGGAGGGGCCCACGATGTGGCCGCCCTCGGCGGCGGTAAGGGGGGTGTGGGTTGGGCCGTCCATGCATTCCCATGGCTGGTCGGAGTGAAGAGAGTTGGTTTGGCGGGCGATATCATAGACGGGGCTGCCGTCGATGCCGTGGATCCAGGTGGCGCCCTGCTCGATCCGGTCGCCGCAGAACGACGCCGTGCTGACCCGGCCGCCAATCCGGTCGCCGCCCTCAACCACCGTGAGTTCGAAGAGCTGCCTCGAGTTGGGGAAGGCATGGAGCTTGCTTGCTGCTGTGAGCCCAGCGACGCCGGCGCCGATTATGACTATTCTTGGCTTTTTGCTCACCATTTCTTGTTTTTTGTGATTTTTTTTCCTCTCTCTGACAATTATTATAAATTGAAAATGGTGAAATTGAAATAGGGAATAAGGGAAATCAATATATGCTTTGTAGTGAATGAATTTGTATTTTATTTTATTTTATTTTTTCTTTCCCCTTCTCTCTTTGAGTTGAATAATGAGTGATGTGTTTATTGAGGTGAGGATGAGTTTGTAGTACTAGAGAGGATATATAAGGTCTAAAGAGGCCTAGTGTGTGTGTGTGTTTTTTGCCTTGCCTAGAAGGGATCTTTTCTATTCTTTTATTTTTCCTTTTTTTTTTCCTCTTTTTCTCCCTCATAGTTTATTTAGCTAGTAAAGACATGGCTCTACTTTTGCTTGAGCTCTACCACTTGCCACTACTATGGGTTATTTATATGTAGTACCCCTACTAATGAACAATCCCTAAACATACTTTTGGAACATATCCATACATGTATTTATCACATGTTATGGGCATATACACCTTAGCATAACCATATGGTAAAAATTTGATGGCATGTGCATGAAATTTAATGTCTGGGGGGTTATATAGGTTACCTAGTCTAGTGGTTGTGGGGTGCTTCTTCTTTTTTTTTTTTTTTTCTCTAATAAAAAAATAATCAATATTCTTGATTTATTTTGAAAAGTACTCTTTGAATTATTCTTAGTGTTTTTCAAATTATGAAAAATGTGCCAATTGATATCAGCTATGTTTGGTAAAATTATGTGATAGTTAGCTAGCTGATAGCTGATAAGCTAGCTTTTACCTTATCATTAATTTTCGAGCTTATAGCTTATGACTTATAGCTGAAAAGCTAGCTTGTATGATAAAAGTATTTGGTAAAATTAGTTGATAAGCTTCAACTAACTTATTTGAAAAGCTACCTAAAGAAGCTTATCAAATAAAAAAAGCTCGTCACACCAAACAATGCTTATTTGAATACAGGGAGTTTATAAGCTAACCAAATAAGCTATAAAATAGACTATTTTTTTTTACCAAACATAGCCTATAATAAGTCAATAACTCTGGTAAGGGACCTAAACGTCTGCCCAGTAACCATTATCTTGGTGGTTAACATTACGGTAGAGTTTTTGGATGATTTGGCTATACTCGAGTTAATATACTAATGTGGCAAATCATTGTGATTGATCGATTTGGTATGACAACTATCGTAGATTTAAAGGACCTTCTTAATGAATCGTGTTCTTCATGTATCTAGGACACATAACATCCAAATTTAGTGAAATCTTAAATTTATCCTTATATTTGGAGAAGAAAATTATTTTTTATAAATACAACTCCAACACTTATGGAACTTAACTTGAGCATCGAAATATTTAGATCAATAATCATTCCAACAATTTTCTAGTATCGTACGCCGATTGGTGAGAAGGAATGCTTGTTCAATCTTATCAATATATTAAGTCAACTTGAGCACAAAATGCATATGATGTGCAGTTGCACCTCGAACCGTCTCTCCTTAATTCTTCGGCCGTTTTGCTCCCTAGAGACCTCAGAGACGTTTGAAGATGTTCTTAGCGTTAATTTCCGACGATGAAGTCAGTAAAGTGATATGAAATGTTGTATGGAAATATGAAAATTTCTGAAAGTTTAGACTGTATAAAATTTGATTCACCTTTACGTTCTCCAAATTTTACCAACTTATAGAGGATTATTGTCATCCTGAACAAGCATTGGTTCTGCCCGTCGGTTACTAGGCTACCAGTAGGTATGCCCATCAGTTACTTAGTTATACTCCCGTCCATCAGATCATCTTTCTCTTTTATTTGTGACCCTACACGCATCCGAGCTCATTAGTATCCGAGATATAGTTATTCCTAAATTGCCATGTTATCATGCCCAAGCTATCATATGTCTGAGCTGTTGGCAAACCTTATTTTTTCGAGCTCCTTAATATCCGAGCTATAGTTATTCCTAAATAGTCCAAGCTCCTTATTGCCTGAGCTATATACTTTATTTTTCCGAGCTAGAGACGTACCCTAGCGAGCTACATGAGCCCTCATACTCCTAGACCAACCAGCCTAGCTAGTTTTTTGTCTACAAACCGATCTGACCGTAGCTATTTTATGTGCTATATCAATAATTGAGAATTCTTCCATCATTTTTCTAATACCAATATACCAATTCGTGAGAAGAAAGAAGATTCAAATTCAAAAGTTGCATTATGCATCACAAACGGATAGGGCTGGGCACGGTTCGGATACTCGAGTTTTTTGAGGTATTTGCTAATCGAACCGAACCGAGCAAATATTCGAACTTGCTAACCGAAACCGAACTGAAAATCTCGGTTAACCAAATTTTCGGTTAACCGAAAAAAATCCTACTATTTGCGAATTAACCGAACCGAAGCGAACCGAGCAAACCTAACACAAATCTGTGTTAGGTTTGCTCGGTTTGGTTCGGTTCGGTTTGGTTAATTCGCGAATAGCCATACCAACAGGTTAGTTTAATATATATAATATATAATATATAATATATAATATAATATATATTTTATAAATTTTAATATAATATACGATTCGGTTCGATTATCGGGGTAAAAATCCTAAAAACAGTAACCGAACCAAACCGAGCAAATACTTCTTTTGAGGTATTTGTAACCGAACCGATTACCCCGGTTAACCGAAAATTCGGTTCGATTTCGATTCGGATCTACGATTCAGTGGTTCGGTTCGAAATTTTTGCCCAGTCCTACAAACGGATATAACAAGTCCATGATGCTTTTTTACTTCATGGGATGAGGTTGGACAGATTTACCCCACCCATTTTGTACGTCAGTACTTATCCAATGTTTCAAAACATGATGCATTTTAAGGCAAAAACAATCAAGTATTTACTAACTTGCACAAAAATGATATGAGAAATTGCACAAGACAAATATACCCTCATCTCCTACACATAAAACATCATATTTTTACCCCTATTTTCAAGTCTAAAAGTAAATTTAAAATTTATCTTAAATATTAATAATTATTAAATTTATTATAAAGTTTTTATATATTATATATCAAATTAATAATCCTATGATGCGCTTCGATTTGACATCTATATTGTACATACAAAATAAATAAATTATTATTTTTACAATAAAAATTATTTTAAATTAAATAAGATTATTTCAACTAAATAATATTATATTTAAATTAAATAATATAACAATAAATTGAATGAAATTATTTAAATTAAATAATATTTATAAATTAATATTTTTAAATTAAATAATATTTTTTAAATTATATAAATTTTTTTAGATGGAACAATATTTTTAACTAACATAAAATTATTTAAATTTGTATTTTGTAAATAAAATAAGATTATTTAAATGAAATAATATGTTTAAATTAGTGGTTTAATGAGAGCCAAAATTCTCTTACCTGAGAGCGTAATTTTTTTTTACTGGAAGCTGTTTTCCCGGTGCATTCTGCGGTAGTGTGTCGTGTTCAGGAGTAATTGGTCTCTGCTTGGAGTTTTCGGAGGTTTCGTTGTGGTTTCATTGAATTAGGGTTCCTATGGGGGACAGATCGTAGGGAATTCACCACCGTCTGCCCTAAATGAAGAAGTGATGCGCAAGTTGCTAGCTATCTCGCTTTCGGAGAAGGAAGCTGGGGGATTAGAAATACAACCTACATATATTAAGGTTAGTGAGGAGGAATGTGGACGCAACTAGTTTGGGAAAGTTATGGGAGATAGAGTAGCTAGTTTGCTGGGCATAGAGAGAGTTATGGCGAATATCTGGAAAATCCAACAACCAATGGAGGTGAGTTCTAACTTTTTCCAGTTTATCTTCAGCTCCTATGATGACATAAAGAAGGTTGCAGCGCGTCATAACTGAATATACGAAAACCAATATTTGATGCTTAAAGAATGGTTCCAAGGGCTCGTGTGTAATCATTCCAACTTTGATGAAGTGAAATTATGAGTTCAGGTGCTAAATGTGCCCATTAATTGGATGAGTTCTGATGTGGGTCTCAAAATTGGCCAGATTTTCAAAGGAGTGAAGAATGTGCATGTGTGTAAAACTGGAGGGGAGTTGGGGAGTTTCCTGAAACTTTTGGCAGTGGTGGACACAAAAGAACCAATTCCAAGATGCACCACTGTGATGTTGGGGAATGAGAGTGTCATGGTTCCTTTCAGATATGAACGGTTGGTCAATCTGTGCTATTATTGTGGAAAATTGGGGCATTTGGATAGGAACTGCAACCAAAGATTGGAGGATATTGATGAGAAGAAACTTGCAGAGGGCCAGTTTGGAGAATGGCACAAAGCCAATGAAACTTTTCCAGGAGGAAGAAGTAGTTTTGCTAGTAGCTCTGGTACCAAAACCAACCAGACTACACATAATTCAAATGCAGAGCCTATGGTCTCAGTGAGTGATCGAGCAACGGTGCAACCTGAAAATACCAAAGGTAAAGAGGTTGGACAGGATGATCAGAGTTGTGTAGAAGGAGAGATTCCAAGTACTCAGAAGTTGGGACATCACCTCGACACTACCTATAGTCAGGAGAAAGAGGACTCATCAGGGGCAGGGAAAGAGATGGTTGTATGTGAGACCAGCATGGAAGTTGAGGAGGGTCTTTGGGAAAGGGAAGTGACTAAGGTCCCTATCCAGGAGCATAGCTATATTGAACCTCTAAAGAAAGTTTACCCAGCAACATGGAAAATGAGGGGCTCAGTGGATGGCAGACTGTTGAGGATGAAGGAGCCACTTCCAATAACAAATGGTGATATTCCATGAAAGAGGAACAGAGAGATTGTGCTATTCTCAGGAGAAGGGAAAAGTCAGAAAGAAGAGAAAGTGGAGAAAAAAGAAGAACCCAGCTTGAAAATATTAAGGTGGAGAAGGCCAGCCTCAAATGGCCCCGGGGTTATCAATGAAGGCTAGGTTGTGGAATTGCAGAGGGCTGGGTGGGCACTCTACAGCTTCCCAAATCAAGAATGTCAGAAGAATCCACCACCCAAATGTTTTTTT